AAAGCAGTTCTGCGTCTTGGCCCTCCTCCTCGACCATGGTGTCGAGGAGGAGGGCCAAGACGTCCTTCGCAACCGTGCGTGTGCGAGTGACACAGCGGTCGCGTATGAAGCGCTGCACAAGTTTACGCACTGCGTTGGTGTCGGGCACACGGGAGATGTGGTTGGACTTGTTGGATGGAGGCGGGGCCACCGTGATGTTGCCAGCAGACAGGAACTCAGCAAGCACAACACTTGACGGTCTTTGTACCCCTGCCAAGCAGGTGGGATATGACATCTGTGACGTTAGCTGTGTTGACCTCACGGAGTGTAGCATGGAGCCAAAGGATGTCGAGCTTCTCGTCGACTGTCAAGCTGCGCCTGCGGCGCAACTTGACATACGCGTTGTTTCGTCGCCAGGTCCATTTAGACGGTCAAAAATTCAATTTTCGGCCATAATCGGGCCAATCAATGCCGTCATTTTGGCACTTATTTTAGGACAATCGGATAAGAATTGAGTGAAATAGATCAAATTGAGCGAATTTTGATGCAATTATTCAGCTATTTTGAGCAAACGAGGTATGGAGTTATAAAGGTTTGACTGTCAAGCAATTTTATAAATAAATTCGTACCTCTCCCAGTGTAATATTTATTGTATTTCACAAGTTATCATGATTCATACGTGCATTTTATGTTAAATCCCACAGTTTATCCATCATTTTGTGAAAGGAATTGTGTTTCAGAGTCTTCTGGCGGTATATGCATATTCAGCAAGCATAGACCAATCAGATGCACCTAAAAACATGAAAATCGACCAATTCTTTCCTATCAAACCTCTGCTGGGGTCGTCGATGCCCTCGCAGACTGTGAAGTTGTTTAAACACACTCGTGTAATCCACCTAAATCCATGGAAGTTCCTGCACAATCTGGAAACCCATCCCATCATGCCGCATCCAGCGCATCATGCGCCTCGTCTTCCACTGCCCGGCACTTGCCGCCGATATATGAAATGGGCGAGGATAGTTTGGTCAACATCGAAACCCAGGCGGATTGAGAGGAGATCCTTACGATCGGTACGTTCTCGGACGCATCGATGCGCTGTACATAGGCGATGACACTGAATGACTTCGTCACTGATGCAGTATGCAAGCTTATTGTTGCCGACTTTTGGGCTCCATGGTGTGGCAGGTGCACTCAAATCTCTGGTATTGCGAACATTCTTGCGGAAGACGTCGCCGATGTGGTGCGGAATTCACCAAACTAGCGTGCCACGACCCTGTCAGATGTGCAATGAAAATTTCCCATTGAACGAGGTACATCTCGCCATCGTTGCACGCGGGGATGAGCGCATCGTACCTGTTCGTGCAGGTTCAAGTGGGGCAGCGAACGTCGCCGCACCGGCAGACGACGCGACGATTGCTCGAGTTGCCACCAACATTATGCTCAACTTGAATGCGTAATCGGAAAATTGAAGCAAGGGACCCCGTCCAAGTCCGGCAAACCGTTGGGTGGGACGGCTTCCTTGGATCGCGCATGCTGGACGCGGACACATCGTGCAGTTCACTTGGCCGCCGTTCGTCGCTGTTGCGACTGAGGGCACTTGCTGCAGGGCAGAGTTATGCAACCGTGTTTTATTGCGCCAGCGAGGCCTCAAACGAGTGAGCATACAAAAAATCCAAGCGTCGTGGGCCATGTTTCGGGGAAATTTTGAGAGCAACGATCAATGCATGAAGCACCGCGAAGGGGACGGACCCGCCCGTGTTAGGTTTGAAACATGGAGAGGCGAGATCGCACATAGCTTGATGTGGCGTATGAGCGACTGGCCCTTGTTTACATATTAGGGAGTCATTGGACAGGTATGCGAACTGCAGCTCTTCTTTGGCAAAATCAAAGCCAGCCCTCGAGACCTGGAGGCATTTCACGCGTGCGCTTGCTACACGCGAACAATCGCCAATCCCGTTGCCCCGGTGATTCGGCTATGCCCCCAGTGAATTCATCTAGGCGCCCGGGGCAGTTGACTTGTACGAGAGTCGCGCAGCATTCCAACTTCCTATCGCAACCGGCTGAAGGACGTGTTATACTCTTGATTGTCCTCTTGAACCTGTGAGCGTCCATGTGACGGGGGCACGCCCCCTCAACGTACTGCGTGAGACGGCGTTTGTCAAGCTCGGGTGCAAATTCAAAATGGTCGGCTTTTCATCACCGAGAAATTCCACCGTTGGGCTGATGTATCGCTCGAATTGCATCCACACGAACGACGAGCCTCCTGGTCAGGTCCTTGTAGGGCTCCAGCATTTCACCAGCCACTTGACACAGAAGAAGGACTTGGCATCTCTCGAAGAAGGACTTGGCATGGCTCAAATGTTCTAACGGGCCCTTCGCAGATCCTCCAAGGGCGGGGGGAATACTCACACGAGCGCGCAATTACCCTGGGGACGGTACTCCGTTTACTCCAAGCACAAGGTAACGTTGGCGGGTCTGTTTGGGAATCTCGCTGTAGGGCACGTTGGCATGACGCCTTTGACTTGTGCGATAAAAGACAAGACCGTTGGAGCGAGCTGATCGAATCTACACGCCAGTACTAGTGTCGGTTGGGTAGCCTATCCTTGTCCGATATCACGCCGCCATTGTTTCCTCGGCAAGGTAAGCCCTTGTCGCGTTGTCGTCGACGTTTGCGGCGGCGGCCCCCCGTGGAACTGCCAGTTGTGACGAGTTCATGCCGCATCGGCTGCGCCGGCGACATTCAATGCTGGTCCAGCGGTGGCGGGGCGCGCGTTTTCCATTGCGAAGCATTGCACGAGCTGCATCACAACCCCGCTGTCGTCCGACTACCTGCACAAGGCCCGACACTCGGGGATGGGAACACACAGCGGGGCGAGAGCTACTGGTGCCTCGAGGACAAGAAACTGCTCCATGCATCCCTGCCCAACCCTGACTGCAAGTCCCTCCGTTCACCTTCTACGGGTCGAGCACGCCAGTTTGAAAGCTGTCGCTTCGACTTTGGATGGAGCTGGTCCGCCAGACGTTGCCGAGACGACCGAGTCGGGATATGAAATTAGAGGAAGTTTTATCGATGGAGACGACAGCATTGCCATCCAGCGGAGGTGAGCAGAGGTCGGTTTGGACCTGCATCGTCTTCAGTGAGAAACATAGTTGTGCTTGACGGTTCCGTCAGGGTCGGTGGTTCGCTCAACAGTCCGATGAGGTTGGCCTCCATCTTTGTTCACAGAGCGTCAACTCGTCACGCGTTCGATCTACACGAAATACCGCTGGGTCGCAAGGACGCGGACGGGGCGATGGAAGGATTGCTCGTTATCACAGACGCTCATATCGTGTATTGCAGCAACCTCGGTGTTGAGAACAGCGGCCTTTTGCCCGGGCGTCCCTCGAAGTACATGGAAACTTACGCCTACATCGGCATCCCAGTGGACGTATATGCCCACCTCCAGGCGGATGCTGAGACGAAGGATTCATGTGGGCAAATGCAAACCCGCTGCCAACAGTGAACCGCAGGGTTACATCGTCGAGGACTCTGGCACTCGCCTTGTCGGTATCGCCCGCGTTCTGGCTATACTAGGTTCCCATGCGCTTCGAGGGACGCCCCGGAAAATGGCAGCTTTCTCGCAAGACCGACGTTGCTGCAATACTCGATGAGAGAGTAGTCCGTGATTACTAGCGATCCTTCCATGGCCCCGTCCGCGTCCTTCCGACCCAGCGGCATATCGTGTAGATGGAACGCGCGACGAGTTGACGCTCTGTGAACAAAGACGAGGAATCCTGCTCCGACATGACCATGCGCTGGAAACGCTGTACACTTCCAAGTAGTGCATGCCATGCATCAACACGAATACGACGACAACCCGATCGTGCCGTCGTCTTGACCATGGCAGACACCGCACCATCGACCGACGTGTACGCGATGAACGGCAAGGTTCGGTTGAACGGCAAAGCCGCCCAAGTCGGACCAGTGCATCTCGTACTTCCCGCATCTTCCCTTTGTCCTATCACAACGTCGAAAGCGATTGCTTTTGCCCAATTTCTGCTGGCGCTGAGTCCACCGCATGACAATGCTTTACGACGTCGTGGCGCCCGACATGCACACCGCGCTGACGAGGCCAACACGTTGTCGACATGTCCTCGACTGCATTGACACGGACGACCTGGCCAACCGACACACACGTCCATGCGTGCAGTCGGCGAAGAGAGTTGCCATGGCCATGCTTCCTCACCAGACATGCCCCGGATGTCTAGGCGGGCGCGTTCGGTTCACGTCGCAGCCACACGAGCTCGCAAGTGTGGCGTCGATGGACGAGCACATGTTGACCTGATCGTTCTGAGTCACGCTTGAAGGGCGATTCGTGTTTCTCTGAGTAATTGTTGAAGATTTAATTTTATGATGCTCGACTTAACCGTTCAAAACTTATCAACGCATCGCTCACTTTTCATCTGTCATCGTTCTTGCCATGCTAGCTGCTGTCTCCCGCCGCGTCCACCGCCTCTCCACTGTTCGTTCGTCGCTTGGGGTGCGCCGCCTCATGTCGACCTCGATTGAAAAAGATGAAGACGGAATTTACAACGTCAACACCAAGGCCGACTGGGACGCGCTTCTTGCCACAGGTGAGTGTGGCCATCACAGCAGGATGGTGTTGTCGATGGAGCGTCGGAATGAAGAACCACCACGTAGGAAAGCCGATCGTGGCCGACTTTTGGGCGCCGTGGTGTGGCAAGTGCAATCAAATCGCTGGCTTTGTCAACATTCTCGCGGAGGATTTCCCTGATGTGGTAGGACGAAACGATGACAGCATGCCTAACGATCCCTTCTGAAACGTTGACCCTGTCGTGTGCTAGACTTTCGTCAAGCTGAATGTTGGCGAAGAAGGCGTGGGTCCGATCAAGGCCGAGTATAACGTGGAAGTGTTGCCCGCTTTCATGTTCTTCAAGGAAGGCCAGCAAGTGCACACGCCTGTGTTGGGCTACAAGAAGAAGCCTCTCAAGGATACCGTTCAATTGTTGGCTGCGCCGTGAAACCACCATAATTGAGACATCTTGACGAGATCTCGAGTTGTTCATTCAGTCGTTCTTTTCCGCGATCTTGACAGCGCATGCTTGTCACCGATCGGGACGTGGAAGCTCCATTCAAAGTCCCATGCCGATATCAATTCGAGTCTCAACAATGGGATCTTTTGTCGGGTCCGGCATATAGGCTACATGCATCCGAGCTGTACTACTCCGAACAGATATGGAAGAATGGGTTTTAACCAGTGTTTTTGGGTGCTTTTGTTGGAGGAAGCTCAAAAAAATATCGTGTCTAGTCTGAAAAGATATACAGGATCAGGCACTGTAGTTCACTTTGTCGGAAGAGACATACAATTTATCGTATTAAGTTTATCGTTTTTCAACACTTGCATACAAACTTCCTGTGTTTTCACCCTTTCTCCGTGACAAAAAATTTCATGACAGTTCCATGTTGCGTGGGCCAGCAGTTCGATACGTGCGTCGATTGCCCGCGGCGGCAATTGGATCGTTGAAGCCACGATGCTTTACGACGGCCTTTAAAAGAGACGAAAACGGGGCGGTTAACATCAACTCCATGGTGGAATGGGATGCGATTGTCGCTACAGGTAAGGGTGCCTGCCCGCCGAGTCCCGGGCGAATCACAATGTTGTGACGCCGACTGTCGTGCTCGGTAACACGTGCTTGAATACGACGTACCCTCTTCGTAGGCAAACCGATTGTCGCGGACTTTTGGGCCCCGTGGTGTGGTAAATGCACGCAGATGCGAGGGTTTGTGGAGGCACTGGCCCAAGATCACCCGCGCGTGGTAACTAACACTCCAACATCTCAACGGCATCCAAACCTTGACGGTGTGTTCCGCAGACGTTTGTGCGAATGAACACGGCGGACGAGGGCGTGGATCCTATCAAGGCCGCACTCAATGTGACTGTACTACCGACTTTTCGCTTCTTCAACGGCGGACAAGAAGTTGGCCAGGCCGTGACAGGCTACAAGAAGGACCAACTAAAAGACCAAATTGTCAAGCTTGCACTGTAACTTGCGTTTTAGAGCAACCCCCCCTTTCCTTCTGCGCCGCGCTTGCATGATCAGCGAGCGTATTCAGGTCATGCACTTTTCGAGGAAACATCCGCCACAAACTTTCCGTGGTCTGGGCGTAGACCGACGCGATGGATGCCGTTGCTTCATTCCATTCGACTTTGGACACCGACAGACCACAAACACAGCGCTTGCACAGTCTCATCCATGTTCCCGTTGCCATTGCTGTCGTCGCACATCTGGAAACGCTCTGAATGACCTTGGCTAGAGCATTTCGGCTGGAGACGGTTCGTAATTGGAGCAGACACGGCCATTCTTGCCACGACGCAGTGCGCAGACATGGTCCCCATGCCATGACCATCTGTAGTGCTCCCTGGCATATTGTTGTCGCGCTGAGTTCGCCTCAGCATTGGCGATCGTGCACACTTGGCAGGTCTCCGACGAGGTCGGCGCCATGTATCTAGAATGGCTACAGCGATTCCTTCGTCCCCTTCTCTTGAGCGCGTCCAAGACCGCGGCAGCTGGACATAACACCCTCGTGCATCAGTTTCGTTGCAGAAATAAATACGATTCAATTGGGCTAACTGGACGCAACAAGGTTGTGCTCGTGGATATAAGCAACTGTCGTGGCTCCGTGGCCTCGTTGCGCAGCAAGATCCAGCACGTGCGCCGACGTTGTGCTAGTCCCTGCCGCAGTATCCACGTGGAGCCGATGGAGGTAGGCCACGACCTCGATTTGTCCGTGCAGCACAGCCCACTCCATGGCATTCAGCGCCATGGGGACTGCTGATGCGTCGTCGCGGGCTTGGTCATCAGCATCGTCGGGACCGTCAACAGGCCCATCAACGACGGGCAGGACAAGGCGGCGACGGCGGAGGTTGTAACTCGACAGTGCTAGCCACTCGTGGCGATAGCCGTTGCTGGATGGGGCAGTCAGTGGTGACGAGACATGGACAGCTGGTGACGACAGCGGCCCGGTGGGCAAAGGCTCGTCCACCCCGCAACTAGTGTGGAGGCGATTGGGTGTCGACGGGGCAAAATAGTGGGTTTGCAAGAATGCGACGACATCCACGTGGCCGTTGGCTGCTGCCAAGTGCAGCGCGTCCTGAGTGCAACCCTCAGTGCGGTGATCGTGAAGAAATTGCACAACATCCAAGTGTCCCCCGGCCGCAGCTAAGTCCATGGCGCCGGTCGAACAGCCTTCGGTGCGATGGATGTGCAGAAATTGCACAATGTTCAAATGTCCGCAGGCGGCCGACAAATCCATCGCGTTGCGTGTGCATCCGTGGCGAAAGTGCTTGTGCATGTACTCGATGCACTCCAAATACCCAGCTTTGGCCAGCAAGTCCATGAGTGTTCGTGAAAGGACGTGGGCATGGGTTTGGTGGAGCTGCGTGAGGATGAACAGTCGGTCCACTGCGTGGTCGGTGGGAAGGGCATGCACGATGAAGTGCGCTTTCGCATACGGTCCAGTCTGGCGCTGCCATCGACACAGCAGGTATCGAATCATGCGGGAAATTCCAGGCTGGAAAGCGCCCACTTGGCGCAGGAGGTCCACGTTGAGCAGTACTGCCAACGCCGACGGCACGGACTCTTTGTTTCGGCGGAACAGCATCGTCGACTTTTGCCGTGGTTGGTACCGCCAGGACTCGATCGCGGCCGTCATCCATGGCGGCACGCTCGCCGTCGAAGAAGTCGGATGCAGCTCGTCGTCGATCGACAAGCACGCACCCATCGTGCCGACTTAGCCAAAAGTGGAATGGGGTGGATCTTGTCACACTAGGTGAAGACGGCGACGGGAGGTGGATCTACTGGACTACAAATAATCGCGACTCAACTTGGGACACGTGAAACGTCATATTTGTCACTGGGATGACAAACTCCGAAACGTTGAAGTTGGTACAGGTCAGCGTAACGACGGGAAAGTTGGTGGCGTTGGCCCACATACAGACCTCCCCACGATGGAGGGGCGTCCTCTGTGTGCGAAGGACAGGCGGCAATGTCCCGCGCGATGTCAGATTGGTGTATCCTTCGCCCATGCTAATGGATGGACGGTAGGAGCTTCCCGCAAAGTATACGCGGCAGCGACGTTGAAGCTTGAGGTGCTTGGGTCCACACAGGCGATCGCTCGCTCTGCAGGTGTCGCTGTCAATAAATAATTGCTCGAACTGCGCCGAGCGTGAAAAATTGCCTGTGCGACGTTTCGCCACGGGAATGACCACGCGGACCGCGTGCACACAAGGTAAGGCGCCATTCAACGAGCCGACACGGACAGGTGGTGATATGCTGGTTCGTACCTGTCGCAGGCGCAACAAAGTGGTCGTGACGAGTGTGGCGTAAGAGTGGGTGCTTGTCAGAACGCCAAGCACACGCACTTAAAATATTTCAAGAATAGGCGTACCAGTATATTTTTGCAATTTCTCAAACAATGCTATTGATCAAGTTTTTGTTAGTATTGACAGTGAACAACTTTATCAAGGGCAAAAATCGTTTGATAAAGGAATTGTATATATTCGTCCATTTGGTAAATAATGAAATTCAAATACGAGCAATATATTGATCAATATTCAAACAAGTACTTCTATGTTGTTCTGTATCAATTGTCTTAAGTGTAGTCTCTCAGCTAAGAGTATTGTACTGCACTGTATCGATTTTATATCGTATTTTACGCATATAGTTACCATCGATTGTCTTATTTATTGCAATTTTCATTTGGAGTATACAGTGATTCCGAACGTGTGCACTTTTTTCCAAATATAAACTTTTCCAGGATGACAACGGGACAAAGAAACCACAAAAATTGATTTTTAAAGGCAACTGGATGGAGGCATCAGCCAGGTGAGCACACGCTGAATTGAATAGCCAAAGCTGGCATTGGGGTGGACAGTTTGATCCTCAGGGGTGACAAAAGGAACGAATCCTGTGTGGTCCCAACAGTTCCGAATCGTAGTTGACGTAACTCAATCCCAATACTGGCTTGTCAAAAAGTCCCCCAAGAATTTTTTATCCAGTTATTTTTCACGGGGTGTAAATTTATACCAGGTGCAAACATGCGGGGTCACTGAAGCACTATATCCGGTTCAACTGCCACACACGTGCCTCCTCCCTTGTCCATGAGCTATACGACCACACAACTTGTACAGGCACACTGCACCATGGTTTGCTCGCGAGGATTCGATCCA